TAATTCCCAATACCTCTCCTGAGAGCAAAAGTCTCACCATCCACATTTCTGTGAGGTTCCTTCCACATTCATGACTTGCTCCTCCAGGGAAATTCACACTCCTTTGAGCCCACAGTCCTCACAGGTATAAATAAAGAAGGTGATTGGATGACACCATTTAGGAACAGAATCTCCTACCAGAAAAAGTGATGTTCGAAAGAAGCAGTCCTTTTCAATAAGCTGATCATTAGTTTGTGTTATGCTTTAAAACCAAAAAACCTAAGCTAAGAGCTTCCTTAATTACAGTGGCAGTTATTATGACTGCAAACACGAATTCTTTCTTTTTTCCTTCAGATAAATTCAAAGTGCAATCTCAACACTCCTGAGCAAATACCTCTTGCCCTTTCAGATCCTTCATATATCAGCCCTTTAGGGAGGAATCCAAATTTAAACTTCAAGGCCACAGAGCCTCAGGACAACTCAAAGTCTTCCCTATGAGAGCAAGGGGGAGGACAGTTGCAGATTTAATTTTAGGGAAACATTTCTCTCTCCTCTGTTTCCCTCTCCCCGTACCTCCTTTTCCCAAGAAAACAAACATATTTTTTTTCATTCTTAGATCACATTAGAAGCTGATTCCCTCATCTCCTTTGAAAGAATTGACCAGCTTATTCCTCATCTGCAGCTTCCTAAAGTGATCCCTAGACTGAAGCGCTGTTCTCATCAGTCCACCCAGCAATTACCGGGAGCCAAGAAGCAGCCTGCAAAAACTGTGACAGAACAAAATCATTTCACAGTGATTTATTAGGCATGCAGCCATTAATGACTTTGCAAGTGTGGAAAGCAAGATGGAGGGGCAGAGCCCGAGCCAACACTAGCTGTCAGAACATCATTGTCATCTATTGGGTTAGAAATATTTAAGCCATCTGATGTTTCAGCCTGGCATCCTGACATAACAACAGGCCTGGAAACAGCAATAAATTTGCGCATTGAGGAGCCTGTTCAAAATCATAGAGGTTGACAAAGAAATGGGAGAAAGTGTGCAGAGATGTTTGTTTGTGCGACATTGAAAAGAAAAGATCATGATCTCCAAGAGCATCCTTCTACTGCATCAACTCTACTGTCAGGGCTGAAGTACCAGAGGCAGCAGCCACTTCACTGAACTGAAAGATGTTTTTATATTCATTTGCAGATGTTATTTTTGTCCTTATTGTGAGAAAATCTCTTTGTTCTTGTGAATAAAAAGTCACCTTGTGATGTATTTGGGAAAAATCCAAGGAAGTGCCAAGGTTCTGCAATTTCCACCTGCTGGGAGCAGCAGGTGCTTGGCACTTGCCATGGTGAAGCTCTTGAGACAGGTTCTGCCCTCAGTTGTGCTAGCGTAAATACAACATAACTTTATAGGCACTGACTGAATTATCCCAGATGAAATTCAAAGCAAGAGCAGAATCCCTCTTTTTTTTTTTTCAGCAACACAGGATTACAATGGTAACATTAACATTAGAACAGATCAATTTTGCAAGATGACAAAAGAACATGCTGATCTCACTGCTGTGAGCTCCTACTCAGCAGACAATTATGTCCCATCTTAGAACAGAGTTTTTAAAATGTTCGATGCAATGTACAAGCATTAACTTCTAATGGCTTAAAAAGGAATTTTATAATGCTAATGTCTTCATATTACAAATGTGATGCATCTAGAGAGCTAAGGTTTCTCTTCAAATCTGTAGCAGCTTTCAAAGATATTTGGACCAGAAATTTCCATTTAGGCATCTCTAATTTCAAGACTTCAGAACATGCTGCTGGAAAAGATGGATATTGATATGACCTCTACTTTACAAAGGCTTCTGCAATTATATTATGGTCCATCTCAATTACTAGCTCATTAGTCAGTTGTGTATTTGCAAAGAAAACAACAAACAAACAAACCAAAAGGTTGTTCAATCAGTCTTCAATTTAGCAAATATTTCTCTGACATGCTAACAGCATACAGTGGCCCTCACTTTACTCTTGGCTACCGAAGGACAAGTTGAGAGCTGCTAGGAAACCCAACTGGCAGGAACTTAGTAGTCTACCACTATTCCCAGAAGCAAGGGTTGGGCACCACCCACTTGTGCCGAAGGAGACTGAACACAGAAAGAAGGTGAAAATAGAGTGTTTCAGACTTTTTGTATCATGTTTTGTTCTTGCTTGAGAAAAGATGTACCTGAGAAATGCCCTGGAGTGTTGCAAGACACAAAACCAGCTTTCTTAAATCGATCCATTTTTCCCACTGTCACAGACAAACCCCAGAAAAAAAATATGTGGGAGAGAGAAGAAAAGCACACAAATTTCTTTTCAGACATGTCTATTATTCCACAATCCTCTAACCTAATTGTAGCATATTTTGGATTATTCTTTTTTTTGTACAATATTTGTCTTACTTTTTCAGTCAGCACTTCTATGTGACCAATATATTTCAGGGTAGCCTGCATCACAACAGTACCTTTCTGTCCCACTGCTTTCTCTTTCAGAATTGACTCCTCTCTCCCCTCCTACTCAGACCTTGTTAGTCCTTCTCTTGTTCCTAATTTGAAGATCTCAATGAGCAAGAATTACATGTCTCAGCAATAAACATGATCTCACAGCAAAACAAAGAAGAGGATGAACAAAATAAAAATTACTGTCTGGTGAAAGCTCCCTTGACAACTACAGCTACACTGACAGGCGCCACTGAAATAATAGGAATGATGCTTCAAAACAACAGCCAAGAAAACGTTATGAAAGAGAAAAAAAAACAGTCTAAATGGATCTTTTCAAATGCAGATTCCACTGCCAAATGAGGAGAATGAGAAAAATGTTCTTTCTTATAGCACAGTCATATTTAAATTCTGCCATATACCAGAAAACCACCAAAAATGTGAGTACAACCTGAAAGATCCTGGGCCCAATAGTCCATTTGAGGAGTGCTAGAATGATGCAGAATGGAACAGAAGGATCATATATTTGGGGTGGAGAGGCAGGATGGAAGGTGTTATTTCATTACCAAATCTTGAATTGCTTCCAACTAGGTGAACAATAAAACTCATGTCGACTTCAGTGCAATATCAGGCATTTGCAGGCTTGTATCTGAGTAACTACCGCTACCTAAGTCACAAGCTGCATAGCAAAGAAGCCAAGAGATTAATGAACATGAAAAACTATGGCCCACTACTAATGATCGTCCATCCAAGACAGAACTAAGGCAATACTCATGAAGAAAGGAAGGCAATTAGGAAAAAGCATTAGCCTTCCTCTGTCAATAATGCTTAAGTGCAAACAAGTTACTTAGGCACTTTTTCCACCTTAGCTTCACAACCATAAAATGGGGAAAATTGCTGTAAGTACTGGTGTGGCCACAGTTATCTGCTGGTCAGAAGGTATTTCAAAAGCACCAGATAGATCCTGTAAAATTCTGCAGCAACCATAGCATCTACCGTACTACCTATGGCTCTTTAGCAGGCAAAAAAATGCAGCTTCTTGGAGCAGAGGTGGCGATTCAGCCGCACAGAAGTTCCTGGCTAGACCGAGTCAGAGGTGGGGGGGGGCTATGGAAAGAGATGGCAGAGACAATGCAGCAGACAGGATGGAAAGAAATAAGGTACACAGAGTGAGTGGCGCTTTGGAGCGGTACATTTTATTTTCTTGGTATTTTATATCCCTATTGTGAAATACTACTGGTAACATGGCAAAGATTATTGCCTAAAAACTGCAGTCACAAACGCATAGGCAACACCCATGTTAGCAGAAACGGACCCTTTTATCCTAGTACTGAGTGCACTCAGAGCTCCAGAAGTTTGGCTTAGGCTCCTGGGCTTGCATTCCTCTCCAGAGAAAAATGAAATCTGCAGAAGAGCCATGTATTTCTCCACCATTTTATTCCACATGCTCAAGACACCTAATAAATTTACTTTGACTTCTTATTCTTCCCTAAAACAAAGGAAAAGCATAGAACCAGAAATATCTTTTTGCTCCCTAGTGGCCTGGCAGAGACACGTGTAGGACTGTTTCCCACTTTTATATAATGAGATTTAAAAAAAAAAAACACAACCAAAACCAAAAAACAAAAACCACCCGATTGCACAGAAAAAGATACAGAGACTCTGCCATTTCTTGCCAGAAAGACTAAAAACCACAAAACCAAAAGCACATAGTGACTGAGAATGAAAACCTAAACAGTTACATAGATAACAAGAACATCCTAATAGTAAAGAAAAACAATAATCAGAAAGGCATGTAAACTCTGAGGACAGCACCAGCCAGCCTTTTAGTACTCACTGAGAAACTTTTGGTCTAGGGTTATTCTGTATCCTTATACCATAGTTTCTTGCATGTTTCTTTATAGTCTGTATATACAAAACAAGAGTCAGTGAACAGACTGCCCAGCTCACTAGTCTGCTCCACCATGGCAATACAACTGTCCCTGCTCTTTCGGCAATAAACAGACTGCTTGTGTCCAAATCTGAGCGAGCTCTGGGTTCCCCAGCCCTGGGAAATTCAGATGTGGATTAGTCTTGAGAGAGGGAAGAGTCAGAGTAAACATTCTGATTCAGCCACAAGGCACGGACAGTTCCCAGAGCCAAACCTGGGGATGGTGAGACCAGCGCTCGGGGCTGAACAGACCTTTCGCTATAACGTACTGCGAGTCTGCATGTGAACTGGATGAGACATACTGAACCAAACCCACAGCCCAGGGCAGGGGAGTAGCGGTGCAGCCGGAGTTATCCTCACTCCTCCGTGCCACGGACGCTGCACACTGAGCTCCCAGCACTACACGGGGGGGCAGAGACCAGCAGAGCCCCCCACGGTCCAACCCACCTCAGATGTGGAGGACTCGTCTGTTGCACGGGATGCGCTCCCCAGCCCAGCATCCCCCAAACTCCAGACCTCAGCGGCAGGAAACACCTCTCTCCGCCTCTCGCTGCGCTACATGTCAGAGAAAAACATGTCCCAGCGCCCAAGCCACGCCAGCTGCCGAAGGGGAGGAAGAGCAAGGAGCCACTTACAGGGATGTGCACTCGCAACATGAGTTTCTTCTGGCTGGAGCTTTTCCTGCTGCTGGAGGCATCTTTCTTCTTGTCCATGGCAGTGCTTCCCATCCCTTCACTCAAGGCGTGCTGCTGGGCGATGGATCTGGAGAGGGAGGCTGCTCTTCCACCTCTCCCCACCGTCACACCGGCCGCAGTTACTCCAGGCTCCTTATTTCTTTTTTCTTTTCTTTTCTTTTTTTTTTTAACCGACCTTAGGAAAGGGGGG